TGGTCTCGCTTTGTGGTATAATGGTCTCGCTTTGTGGTATAATGGTCTCGCTTTGTGGTATAATGGTCTTGCTTTGTGGTATAATGGTCTCGCTTTGTGGTATAATGGTGTCGCTTTGTGGTATAATGATCTCGCTTTGTGGTATAATGGTCTCGCTTTGTGGTATAATGGTCTCGCTTTGTGGTATAATGGTCTCGCTTTGTGGTATAATGGTCTCCCTTTGTGGTATAATGGTCTCGCTTTGTGGTATAATGGTCTCGCTTTGTGGTATAATGGTCTCCCTTTGTGGTATAATGGTCTCCCTTTGTGGTATAATGGTCTCGCTTTGTGGTATAATGGTCTCGCTTTGTGGTATAATGGTCTCGCTTTGTGGTATAATGGTCTCGCTTTGTGGTATAATGGTCTCGCTTTGTGGTATAATGGTCTCGCTTTGTGGTATAATGGTCTCGCTTTGTGGTATAATGGTCTCGCTTTGTGGTATAATGGTCTCCCTTTGTGGTATAATGGTCTCGCTTTGTGGTATAATGGCCTCGCTTTGTGGTATAATGGTCTCGCTTTGTGGTATAATGGTCTCGCTTTGTGGTATAATGGTCTCCCTTTGTGGTATAATGGTCTCGTTTTGTGGTATAATGGTCTCCCTTTGTGGTATAATGGTCTCGCTTTGTGGTATAATGGTCTCGCTTTGTGGTATAATGGTCTCGCTTTGTGGTATAATGGTCTCGCTTTGTGGTATAATGGTCTCGCTTTGTGGTATAATGGTCTCGCTTTGTGGTATAATGGTCTCGCTTTGTGGTATAATGGTCTCGCTTTGTGGTATAATGGTCTCACTTTGTGGTATAATGGTCTCGCTTTGTGGTATAATGGTCTCGCTTTGTGGTATAATGGTCTCCCTTTGTGGTATAATGGTCTCCCTTTGTGGTATAATGGTCTCTCTTTGGTATAATGGTCTCGCTTTGTGGTATAATGGTGTGTTCTCATAATGGTCTCAAATGTGGTATAATGGTCTCGTGGTATAATGGTCTTTTGTGGTATAATGGTATAATGGTCTCCCTTTGATAATGGTCTCCCTTTGTGGTATAATGGTCAAATAATGGTTGTAACGCGTATCTCTAGTTAATAAAATTGATGTTAATGTGGCAAGACAGTTATCACTACATATAGGTGAAGTAGGATTACAAATTGACCACGAGGATTTCATCTCATTAAATTACGCAGTAAACAATTGTAGGTGTATCTATTTCTATATACGTATTATCTATGTACCTATTCCTATGTAAAGTTAGTATGTATTGAATCACGGATTGCATTGGTCAGCAATGATTTAACTAACATCAGCGTAGATTCGTGATTCAAGATACATGGGTTAAGTGGGGGTGATCAACGGTCATTTTGGCAGGGTGTTAAATAGACGACAGATTTTGAGGTTTGGCAGGAACACCATCTCTCCCGACTATGACAGACTCTGCTTGTACCTAATAACACTTCCTAAAAAAAGAAACGCCTGTGTTTATACTCAATCGGACCAGAATGCCCTTGATTTCCGCTTCTGGTGGGTATATACAATATATGTGAAGATAATGTAGAAATTTCATGTAAGTCAACAAAAATTTAGACCTATGACGTATGACCATGATCTATGACCTGTCACTTGTAATATATGAAAGCGAGGTCGCGCTACTGCAGTGACATACATCACATGTACATTATTCATATCCGTTTGATATAATATACATTATTATGTGGTTTCTGTATCTCTAACTGGTGATAATTGTTATCACGATCTCTACCGATACATCAATGGTATTACATAACTTAACATAACATGCATTTTGTCTTTAAATAAGTTTTCAACTTTCAAATCATAACAGAAGAATGATGGTAATTCAACAGATAGAACAAATACATTAATGTAACTTTAATGCATTAATGTAACTTTAATGCAGTAATGTAACTTTAATGCATTAATGTAACTTTAATGCAGTAATGTAACTTTAATACATTAATGTAACTTTCTATTGCACAAATGAAATGCTGTTTAATTAGTCACGAGATGCCTGTTCGTTATGTGTCGATGTGTTTATCAGGAGTGGCAGATACAAGACAAACTAATATTCTAAAACGTTTCATGTTGTTTAAAAATTGTTGTTAAAAGATATATATTTATTTATTTATTTTTTAAAAACGAAGGATAGTGAATACCGATATGTATGCCAGATAATAAAGAATATAATCTCTAAATTTGCATATGCCAATCAACTCTGTAAGGCATTAGTTATTGAAAAGTATCGGAAGCACCGACAGATACGAAATTCAATTGTAACTTGTAAATTTCTGGCTAAATTGTCTCCATAAGACATTAAGTAAATATATTGTTTATTTGTTTACAAGCTTCGGTTGACTGCACAAAGGCCGACAGGTGAGGCAGTTTAATTAACTGTTACGGAGGTTATTGCCCTTGGTTGGCACTAGACAGGGAAAAAATCAGCAGAGACAATTCATACAAATTTTAGTGTTTTTTTCACTAAAATTTCTGGTTGATTTTTGGCAAACCTTTAATATTAGTGCCACTTATCCTAAGGAGAGAAGGAGGGGATGAGTAATCAAGAGGTTTCCAGAGAATTCAGTGTACATTTCTACACTAGGAATTTATATAGAGTCACCCATGAAGAAGTACTAGCAGGCATTGAAGAGGCCCTAGGTAGGGGATGTGTGAAGTGTATACAGCTGACAACAGCAAACTCTGAATGCATTGTAACTTTGTCCAGCAAAGATAAGAAAAGAGACATGATCATCAAGGGAATTAATGTGAGAAATCGATTCTTCCGTGTTTTAGATGTGGAAAAGAATGTAACAAATGTGACAATCAAAGACGCACCATATGAATTAAGTGACCAATTTATTAACACACTAATGTTACAGTTTGGAGAGGTAGTACCCGGGAGTCTAAAGAGGGGAACACTCAAAGACTCTGATATTGAAACTGGAGTTAGGTACATTCAACTACTTAATGCTAAAACAGTGATCCCAAATGAAACAAAATTTGGGAATTATACAGTGATGATATATGCGGATAATAACAGGACAGAGTGTCGTTTTTGTTCGGGGACAGATCACCCCTTTTTTCGGTGCCCCAATAAACCAGCAATGCCCAGAGCCAGACCTGAGAAACAAAGGTCAGCTAGCACCTGGCCACAATGAACTGCAGCCTGAGGAAAATAGCACAAAGGTGAGATCTATTGACAACAGTGACTATCATGAAACAAGTAACGATATCAGGAACTTAGACCTCACACCTATAGATACTCTGTAACAGGAGTCGTCACAAACTCGAAGTATACTAGGAATGACAACTGTGATACTTGGTGCCTCCAACTGTAATCGGTTGGATATATCAGATTCAAACATGAAAATTGTATCCAAATCAGGGGCTACAGCTGGCAAAGTAGAAGAACTTCTACAACTTTGTGAACAGGACCCGTCTATTAACAGTACAGTGGTGGAGGATGTGGTGGTCCATCTTGGAACCAATGATGTTACCAAGAATTCAAGCAATAGCATTGACAATATCACCATTAACTTTACTACAGCAGTGGAGAAAATAAGATTTCATTTTCCAAGGTCAAGGATTACACTGTGTAGCATCCTGCCTAAGCGAGGGAAAAGTGTTCAGAGTGACAAAATAAATCATGTGATTACCAGTGTAAATAGTTTTGTGAAAACTCTGTGTAAACGAACAAACCACTACTATATGGAACTTGAAAAAGGCTTTACCAACAAAGGTACAATTGTTAGAGCCTGTTATGACCAAAATGACCCTACTGGCATTCACATCAGCCCCCATGGGGCAAGTGTCCTGACCAGGATGATTCTCGACCATGTACAAACTATGAAACAGACCAAAAAGAGGAGCATTAGTGCAACATCCATGAGTCCCCAAAGTGGAGTCTCAAAACAGGGAAGAGTAGATGATGAATTCTCATAAGAGGGAAGTATCCTACAAACTCTCATATAGTTTTTATATTAGTCTGATGTGACTGATTTAGGGTGTTATCTACTTATGTAAATAGTTCCTAAAAAAAAAAAAAAAATTCTCATCAATGTATCTAAAAATCATTTCTATGAATGTAAATGGGTTGAATAACAATGCAAAACGGAGAAATATTTTTTTCTGGTTAACAACCCAAAAAATGGATATTGCTTTTTTACAAGAAACACACTGTGAGGATAATAAAGTACAATTTAAGTGGGACAAAGAGTGGAATGGAAAAACCTATTGGGCAAATGGTAATTCATCATCACGGGGAGTTGCTATTTTCATAAGGAAAGGGTTAAATATTAAGATTATGGAAAGCCTTACAGATGTGAATGGAAGATTTATTTGTCTAAAGATTAAAATTGAAACTGAAGTTTTCTGGTTGACAAATGTGTATGCACCCAATGAAGAACAGGATAAAATAGACTTTTTCAAAAATATGAGTGAAAAACTTAGTGATGTACCTTTCAGTAATACCAAACATATAGTAGGTGGGGATTTTAATTGCGTACAAAATATAAAATCAGACAGGAAAAATTGCACCTCAATGACTGAGACAGGTCAGGATGAATTGAAAGAGCTGATCAAATCTATAGATGTTGAAGATATTTGGAGACGTAGGCACCCAGGAATTAAATCATACACTTTCAAAAGAGGCAGGAAACAATCCAGAATTGATTATTTTTTAACTAGTAAATCAATAGATTATTTAGTAACATATTCTAATATAGAGTTATGTCCCTTTACTGAGAATGACCATTATGGCTCACCGGTAATACTTTTTAACTTCAGTGAAGTAGAAATAGGAAAAGGATATTGGAAAATGAATTCAGAAGTAATTAAATCTGAAATATTCAAAGATTTGTTTAAAAACTTTTGGGAAAAATGGAAAGATAATATAAATGAGTATGAGAGTAAAATTCAATGGTGGGAATTAACTAAAATCAAAGTACAGGAATTAAGTATAATGAGCAGTCATATCATAAATAAACCCAAAAATCATATAAAAAAGTTAGAATCAAAATTAGTAGATATACACAGAAGAAAAGACACAGATAAGGAGTTTGATGAAACAGAATTGTTTAATATCTCAGCAGAAATTCAATCTTATTACAATAGTCTCGCAGAAGCAGCTAGAGTTCGATCAAGAGTGCAATGGTATGAGGAAGGTGAAAGATCTACTAATTACTTTTTTAATTTAGAAAAATCTAGGGCTCAAAATAAACAATGGACTACAGTGAAATGTGAAAACGGTCTCTACAGTTCAGATATAGAAAAAATTCTGGAGGAACAAGTTAAATTTTATCAGAAACTGTTTACTTCAGAGGGATGGAATGAACAGGAAGCAGAGAAGCTTTTAATGAATGTAGATGCAAGATTAACAGAAGCAGAAAAACTAGATTGTGATAAAATTCCTACTGAAGAAGAAATTTTAAAAGTCATTAAAACTCTGAAAAAAAGTAAGGCACCGGGGAGTGATGGGATAATTTCTGAATTCTATCAACTCTTTTGGCATATGATCAAAAAGCAACTGACTGAAGTAATAGTGGAAATTTTTAATTCTAAAGTTTTGTCTTCTTCCCAGTACAGAGGAATAATTAGATTAATGTATAAGCAAGGGGAGAGGGAAGATATATCAAACTGGCGACCGATCACCCTTCTTAACACTGATTATAAGATTATAGCCAAGTTAATAGCAGAAAGAATAAAACCATTACTACAAAATATTATACATAGCGATCAGAGAGGGTTTATTAAAGGCAGGAATATAGAAGAATCAATACGATTATTAACTGATATTGTCGATTACACAGATATGGAGCAGAAGGGAGGTATTATTATCTTCTTAGATCAACAAAAAGCGTTTGATAGAGTGGAATGGGGTTGGTTAGAAAAATGTCTAGAGAAGTTCAATTTTGGAAAATCAATGAGAGAATATATAAATATGACCTATAAATTTTCAAAAAGTTGTATTCTAACAAATGGACACTTGTCTAAATTCTTCAAAATATCTCGTTCAGTAAAACAAGGGTGCCCTTTAGCACCAATATTATATATTATTCAGGCAGAGGCAATGGCATGTTCAATAAGGAAAGATAATAATATAACTGGAATCGATCTACCAATAGTCAATGATGTAAAGTTACAAACTAAAATTAGCATGTTCGCGGACGACTCTCAACTATTTTTAAGTAAAGAAAATTGCATTAAATATCTTTTTAAAGTACTTGAATGCTACGAGAAAGCTTCAGGCGCACGTATCAATAAGAAGAAAACAAAAGGTATGTATATTGGTAGTTGGAAGCAACGACCTCCAAACTACATGGAGATATCATGGGTAACAGACAACATTAAAGTTCTAGGAATTTATATGGGGTACAATATAGATAAAAAACGGGTATGGGAAAATAAAATAAAAAAAATAGAAAGCATAATTAAAACATGGAGACCAAGACATTTGACACTAGAAGGAAAAACCCTTATAATTAAGTCACTGTTGTGTTCACAGTTGACATATGAATTAGCACAAAACACAATACTAAATGAATATAAGCGTAGAATAAATATATTAATCTATGAATTTCTGTGGGGAAGTAAAATAAACAAAGTTTCAAAAGAAGCTGTTTATCTAGAAAAGAAAGATGGAGGCTTGAACATGGTAGACCTAGATGTCATTATTGCAATAAACAGAATTAAATTAATATACCGTCTTATTCACTGTGATATCCAATCTTGGAACATAATTGGGAAAAATATGTTGCAAAAATATGATGCAGTATATCATGCAAATTATTTTTATGCAGATGTAGTAACATTAAGAATTTAGAAATTAGCAATATCTCAGAAATATATTTAGAAGGGCTGTTCTATTGGCAAAAGTTGCTGAGAACCACTTCTATTTCCACTTCAGATGATGTACTCAACCAGAACTTATTTGGAAACCACAATCTACTATTTAAAAACAGTCCTATATTTTATAAAGGGTGGGCAAGTAGTGGGATTACCAAGGTTCAAGATATTTGGGATACGGAACAGCATTACTTTATTACATCAGGAGAATTACTTAGAAAATTAAGATTAAAGAATAATTGGATATCAGAGTATACAACTATAAGAAAAGCCTTCTCTTTGGAATGGAAAAATATGCTACAAAATAACAATGGAAACAATAGAGCTAAATTCAAAATTACAGAAGATTTATATTTCATTTATGGTAAAAATTTGCTGGCACTAAATAAACTATTTAATAAAGCTATTAAAAATGTATTGTTTCAAACAGCAAATCAGATAAAATCTATTCAGAAATGGGATACAGACTACAATCTAGAGTGGAAAGCAGTTTGGCATTCATTAAACAGCAGTAGACTAGAAAAAAAAGTAAAAGATTTTCAGTGGAGAAGTATACACAGAATTATAACCACTGAACACAAATTGAAAGAAATGAAGAAATCAAATGGTCTTTGTAATTTTTGTAAGGAAGAACAAGAAACACAACATCTTTTTAGTGAGTGCAGATTGAGTGAAGAGGTATGGCTACCAATTGAAAGGTTATTGAATGAGTGTCTCTTTAATGTTTCAGTAGATTATCAGTATATTGTTTTTACTGATAAAGAAAGGATTTTTGGTATATCAGAATATCCAGAGAACATCAACAAACTCTGTAACATTGTAATTTTTCATTCTAAGTGGTTAATCTGGAAGGCCAGAAATTCAAAGAAATTTGAAAATGAAATACAAAATCCACTATCTCTAATTGGTAAGATAAGAAATGAGTTGAGAGACAGAATAGATATGATAATAAGGACAAATAGAGAAGATTTCAGATTCTATCAGTTGTTACATGCATTAAAAATACAGTTATAAATGTTTGTCAACTATGTTATATCCTAGGTGCTGATTCTGTTTCAGAGCAAATTAAATGTGTTTTTACACATGTGCCCTGAAGTAATGATATATGAAAATATATATATATATAAATCATATTTCTGTACCAGGTACTGAAATATTATGTGTAATAGGTATTATGATAAAGACAAGTGTTGTGAATGGGAAATACAAATATCTGTAATACATTGTACTGTATGAATTGCTAATGGAAATAAAAAAATTAGAGAGAAAAAAACTGTTACGGAATCTTCACACCGATAGTTATAATGGTCCGTATATCGTGCTGTAAAATCATACATTTTTCGTGGGACTCAGTTTTCACGATTTTTGAAAAATCTCTTTTTCGTGGACACTTGATTTTCATGGTTAATCATACCGCAATACGTTTTTTTTTATTTTATATTTTTCGTGTAAAATGTATCAGTTCGTGGATAAAAGATATCAACGCACACAGCGAAAATAAAAACTCACGTTGTGTAATTAAGATCTAGATCGGTAGATTGTTGACATTCCGACGCGTTTTATTGTTCTGCAGTGATTGATGAGGATCTGTGACTTTAAATAATCAAAGTTATGATAAATGAGATCAAAGTGACGTGTACGACAAAATGTCTGGCCCCGGTATAAACATCTCTGTACTGTATGATACCATTCTTCATCTATGCCAAATGATTTATGATCAATGTAAGTTTTTAATGATCGACTGTTAGAACAGTGTCATCAGTTTTATCGTTCGTCATAATTTTTTACGTGTTTTTCCTTTAAAGAGCCAGACCCACTCCGTTATAGATATTTTTTATATCCTATTGACTGGAAATGCTGTTGTATACTAATAGATAATATATAAATAAAGACTTTTATAAAGTCTCGAACTTGAAATTGAAGTGGTACCGTAGATATAGATGCCGGAATTAGTCTCATTAATCAACACCAGGATATGAATATTGATGAGGAAAATACACGAGATACGTTCAGAAGCGGTCAGAATCAAAACAAAAATGGAGGAAGAGGCGAGTAGTATGTCCATGTCACATCGCTTGTAAAGAGATTTTACCGATAAATGCAATCAATACTCTATATATCCTGTATGGAAATCATCTAACTTATGTATTGATCACATCTTTCAATGCTTAGATATGACACAAAAACGTGCAGATTAGGAGAAAAACTACGATTGATTGCAAAGAGGCCCTCAAATAGGGGCTACGATACGGTAGCGAACATCTAAAGTGAATATTCGATGACAAGAGTATTTATGAATAAGATTTTAGAGTGATACTACACCACAAACAGAGTGCGATACAGAGTATGAATCAGCCATCTTCCTTCTTTTCGCCTCAGAGTCCGTCAAAACACGTTTTCTTCCCCGCTTCCCTCGCACGCTTTCTGTCATGTTGGAAGACGGGAGATTTATTTACAGTTCTTTGCGCATGCGTCAGAGGGCAGGGCTTCCCGCATGATTATGAATTAGCACCGAGTCGTTTCGAATTCGTTTTTAAAATTATTTATTACGTTAGATTGGTAGCGATTTACTTTAAGATTGCGGTATTACCGGGTTAGTCAGAACTTTTGCTACCCGAGAAAAATATAAAATCATGATTTTTTAAAAATAGAATAATATCGGTCGAGGAGTGGGTCTGGCTCTTTAAATAACAAGTGATTTGTTGGTGGTATGTTTTACATCGAGGATAATTTTGTTTTGTATAAGCACTTATTTAAAATATTGTTTATCTATGTCCTTCCTTCCTTCATCCCTTCCTTTCTTTCTTTGTGTCAAACGTTTCTTTCTTTAATAGCTGGTTTTGTTCCTTCCTTCTTTACTTCCTCCTATCTTCCTTCCTTCCTTCTTTCCTCCCTCTCTTCCTTCATTCCCATCTTCCTTCCTTCCTCCCTCCCTCCCTCTCATTCTTCCTTCCTGCCTGCCTTACTTCCTTCCTTCCTTCTTTCCTCCCTTCCTTCCTTCCTTCCTTCCTTCCTTCCTTCCTTCCTTCCTTCCTTCCTTCCTTCCTTCCTTCCTTCCTTCCTTCCTTCCTTTTCATTCCAACCTTCCTTCCTTCCTTCATTCCTTCATTCCTTCATTCCTTCCTTAATTCCTTATTTCCTCCCTCCCTCCCTCCCTTCCTTCTTCCTTCCTTCCTTCCTTCCTTCCTTCCTTCCTTCCATCCATCATTCCTTCATTCCTTCCTTCCTTCATTTATGTCAAATATTTCTTTGTTTTGTATCTTAATTTCTGTCTTTACTTATTTATCCTCTCTTCCTTCAATCCTTCCTTCCTTCCTTCATTTCTTCCCTCCGTTCTTCCTTTGTTCTCTCTCTGTATTTTATTGTTTCTTTCCTTCTTTTCTATTTTTTCTTCCTACTTCCTTCCTTCCTTCATTTCTTTCAGTCAAACTTTCTTTAATTGTTTGTTTTGTGTTGTTACCTTCTTCATTCTTTCTTTTTTTTCTTTTCCCTGATAAGAAATACCTAATGATAATGATATTTGATTCTTCCTAAACGTAATTGTTTTACTGGTAGTAGATTGAATACGTAGACCTGACTCAACCTGTATACAGGACTGAATAGTTGCATTAAAATCATCAAACGTCTATTAATAAGCTGTTTGCATGCGTAGAGTTGAACATACTTTGAATGTCAGTTAACTCCGTCTAATGCATGTACACGGAACTAGCTGCTCAAACAATCAAGCATGGTCAGCTTCCTTTCCTTAATTCTATTCATTTTAAAAACCTGACATAATAAAAGCCATTTTCCCGACAGTAGCATGAAATTTAAAAACTCATTGAAAAGGCGAGTTATTTTTGTTTAATTTGTTTAACATAATATCAGTATAATTTTTTCTGTTATTTTTCTTTAAGCTGACAAGTTCTCCCAGCTTTACAAACCACATCAACACGTCATCTTATGAGTGATATGGGGAGGATGTATACAAGGCATACCATCAGTTCACATATTCATAGCTTCAGTATGGATGTATTAAACCTCTTAATGATTGTACTCTTCGTGTTAGGTAAGTACATAATTTCATCTGATAATGTTGTGTTCATAAACATATTTAATTAATCATAATTGATTTCCAAATTATGATTTGAAGAAAAATGAGCTATTTTTAGTGTTACTACAATACTAACAGCACGTGCGTTTACGATAAATTTATTGAATCAAGTCACAAACCACAATTGTTTTTGTTCTTCTGAGAAAATCTAGCGTACGTAAATCACGATATTTATTGAATTGTTGAGGTATTGAATCTCCTCAAATTATCGACCTATCTTTCAATTAATTTTGAAAGTCTGTAGTCGCCTCCTAGTTATCAAAATATAGCCCCTTAGTATCTACAGTCCTAGAAGGGCAGTAAAGCTACATGATACAGTTAAACTCTACTGTGACCAAA